GGTGCGCCCCCCCCCCCCCCCTCTCTCTCTCTCCAAATCAGGCTCACTTCTCTTTGAATCTTGTCGCTCCTTCGGCTCACATCCCCTGCCTTTTTGCCTTCTGGCTACCCAGTGGTATCCAGAGATCAATCACTTCTGCGAGGGCGTGCCCATCATTCTAGTAGGGCTCAAGACGGATCTTCGGAACGACGCGCACGCTCTGTCCATGCTAGCAGCGCAAGGTACTCGACCTGTGACGCCCGAGCAAGGTCTATCGGTCTCCAAAGAGATTGGAGCAGCGAAATACGTAGAGTGTTCGGCCAAGACGAGAAGAGGTGTGCAGGAGGTGTTCGATGTGGCGCTTAGGGAAGCGCTCAGGAGCCGGTGGAGGAGAAAAGTGGGGGGCGCTTCGGGCGGAGTCAATAAGAAAAAGTGCGTTATCCTATAAGGAGAGCTCTTGGCGGCGCGAAGCGGAGCAGGTCTCTCTCTCTCTCGCGAAAGAGAAGGAGAGCGAGAGGAGACGTTGTTCTGCATACATGTGCACCCGATCAACTCGAGTGCGTATCCCACTTTGCAAAGTACCGAAAAGAGTCGCGCTCAAGGCGTACACGTTTTTAAGGCGCACACGTTTTGACTGCTCGGTCAGCTCGACGCTGCCGTTGGGGGGTACGCGCTCTAGACGGGGCTCAAAGCACCGCGCACGCACATCGTCCCTCTTTCCCCACTTCTCCTCCCTTCCCCTCCACCCTACCTTTGCTCCGCACTGATTTTTCGTCTCCTACTTACGAGCGAGCACGGGTCTCATAGCTGTAAATCAAAATTCCCCCGTCTGCATACGATCTCGCATTCAGGCCGTGATAGGTCTCGTGATGACTGTGCAACATGCCTCCGCTACTGCTCCGCGCGTCTTTGCGGCAAGACTTGCGGGCTCCCCCACGCTTTCATCTCATCTCATCTCATCTCAGCGATGGGTGCGTAGTTGCGCCCTCGCTTGGCCCCAGCTCGCATTGCGCCAGGGCACCTGTACATGATGATGGACGTGCGCAACCACACGCATGAATCATTTTCTACGCATTCTCATTTCCACGCAAGCAATCGATGCAGCTTAGCGCTCGGCGCCGGCCGGCCGGCGCACCTTAGTAAGCGCCTCCCTGCTGCATAGCCCACCTGTCGGGATGCACGTTTGAAGGCGGTCGGGAAGGAGGAGGACCGGGAGGTTGAGCGTTGGGAAAGCCTGGAGGAGGTGCGGGCGGAGCGCCAGGTGGCATTGCTGCAAAGCCCATCGGAGCTGACGGAGGCGCGCCAGGTCTTGATGCTCCAAATGGTCCTCCTTGCTGCTGATGCTGAGGCTGATGTTGATGCTGCGGAGTGGCGGGCGCTCCATAAGGATTGGGCGTTCGCGCATACGGATTCGGCGTGCGCGAGACGCTTGCTGATCCTGCTCCTGCTGCTGCTGCTGCTGCGTAGGGATTTGGCGTCTGCCCAGTGCCGCCCAGCCGAGCAGCAGCAGCAGCAGCAGCGCCGGGCGTCATGGAGCCCGTCGCAGCTGCTGCACCGTACGGTGTTCGCATTCCCAGCGCGCCAGGAGTAGCAGATCCAGCACCGTACGCCGCGTAACGTCCAGGCGTGCGTCCGCCTAGCGGCCCACCAGGAGTCGCAGAGCCAAGCCCAGCTCCGTAGGGTGTGGTGCCCATACCCAATGCGCGCGGAGTAGCGCCGCCGAGACCTCCACCTGGAGTCCTGCCTCCGCGCTGCATGCCTACCATCGAGGTGTATTGCGATTTGAACGAGTTGCCTACAAGGATCGGCGCGCGGAGATGCCATGTCAGCAAGGGGGAAAGCAGCACCTCAACAATCCGTCTACCGACGCCCGCACTACTCACACAGCGCCGTAACGTTGGGCAAATGGTCCGTCTCGAGCAGCTTGAAACGACCAGGTAGCACCTTGACGGGCCATTTTTGAATCTTTGCATCCCTATTCGCTTTAAAGCCCAAAATAAACGCGCCAGGGCGCTTCCGGTCCAATGCAAAACCGTACGTGCTGCGGTTCGGATTTGCTTGCGTAAAGCTGATCAGGACTTGATCTTGCATGGCAAAAAATGCGTGAGAAAGCAAAAAGTGTGAGGGCGGTATGAAGAGGAGGAGGTTGGCGCGCACGACTCACCCAATTGCGCTTCCTCGCCTTGGTACTTTTCGTGATGAAGCAGTTGCCTCACCATCGCAGCCATCGGGGCAATGTGACCGACCAACAGCTCGTCGATGTCCGAGTACGAGCCCATATTGCCGACGCGCAGCGTTCGGCCCAACTCGTACTCGTTTTCCTTGTCCAGCTCGAGGACATCTGCAAAGTGCGTGCAAGTAGCGCATGGCCTTCAACTTTTTGCCGCCTCGAGCAAGCTCTCATCTGGCACTCACCAACGTGCTGGAATACACCAGGCGCAACCTTCCACGTCACCGCCAGATGGTCGCTGCCTTTTGAACTTCGTCTGACGATTGCTTCTCCGATATCAAATTTGGAGTCGGCCAAGTATTGTTCGGCCTGAGTCGAGTTGAAGTTCTTGTAGTACGGATGATTGATGGATCTGACATTTCTCAAATTCATCTTTCGTCGCACCTCATCCTCCGCTTTGGCCTTTGCCATCGCCGCCGCTTCGTGGTCAAAGTATCGTTGATCAGGCAGGACTGCTCTACCGCTAGGATGCGCCGCCGCATTTTCCAAGTGGTCTGGTCTCGCAGTGAGTTCGACGCGAAAAGTGTCCTTGTCCACATCAATGATCTGAGCATTGATGGTCTGCATCGGCTTGACAATGTCCCGCAACGAAGGAGGTCGGATCTGTTCCATCTGGTAGTACTCGCTAGGGTATGGCCTGAGGTACTCGCCATTGATTGTGCCCTCGATGCCCGAAGCTAGTCGAACGATGACGTGCTCCGGCTGCACGCTGACCACAGTGACGGCCACAATGCCAGACAGTGTTTGGCTCGTTTCGCCCGTGAGGGAAGACAACAAGGCGTCCGAAGTCGGGCGCACAAAAGCGGCCCGCGCATCCACGCACGGATAGACCAGTTCCCGAGCAACCATGTTGAGCAGGGTGAGCTTCCTGCTGGGCGTCTCGCCCTTGTCCTGCTGCTCTTGCAAAAGCTTCGCCTCGTAGTCGCTCAAATCTATCGTCGACACCTTTGCCTCGCGACGCTGATCCCTGAGCAGTTCCGAGCAAAACTGAGAGGGATGTTCGTTCGGATCCAAATCCTCCTCGTTCTTCTGCAGCGCGTCAAACGCAATGAACCTGGCATATCTGTAGTTTTCCGGATGAATGCGCGTACCGTCCAGCACGTCTGGCGATCCCTGGTACCTTTGCGACTTGACTCCACGCACAACCAAGAATGGGCACGCATTGTGCCACACTTCCAGCGTCAAGATCTCCACCTCGCTCTCGCGCATCAGACTATCTTGAGCGCCGATGAGCAAGCTGAGCCTGTTGATCACCACACCCTCGAGCTCAGCCTTGATGGTCTGAATCAGCGCAGTAGCTTTGCGTGGACCCAGTCCGCTGACGAACTTGAGCATAGCTGCATAGTAAGCGTCCGTGGATGCTCGATTGATGTCGATGCACATGTGGCAGACCGAAGCGGAGATGGCTCTTTCGAGGTGCATGGCCAGCTTGGCTTTGGGCAAGAGCTGCTGATTGGCGTCGTACCGAACGGAAAGCAAATCGCCTTCTTCCAGCGCCGCAAATTCGTTCAGCGGCGATTGGGCATATCGAGCCAGAGCGACGCAGTAGCGGGTCAAGACGTCCAGCGAGGGATGTTCGTCCGCTGCTCGCGCGCTGTGCTGATAAAGACGAGCAACATCGTCGTCCACAGAGATGACGTCGATGCAGAGCTTTTCGCGCTCCGCTGTGCCTTGTGGCGTACCAAGAGGTGGCAATCTGCTTTCTGACACGAGCTCTTCCTCTGCCTTGGTAGCCATCAGCTGTGCCAGCGATCTGAGCGCCACGGTGCGAGCGCTAAAGCCGTTGACCACAACAACGTCTGGTCTTCGTCTCTTCAGCAAGTCGATAAAGGCCATGCGAGATTGGTAGGTCTCTCTGTCCTTGCTGGGCAGCGATGTCAGATCGCGCTCGTCGATGCGCTGCAAGGACACACCCGCATCGTTTGCGTGTCCTCGCGGAGGCGCAAGTCCATCAAATGTGCTGCCCTCGATGAGCTTGCCGCGTGCGTTGAGAAAGACGGCCTTCGTAGTGTCTCTTCGCGGGTCTCCTTGGCCAGCAGAGATTGCGAGAACAGAAGGGACTGTGCTAGAGTGCTTGTCGCCGACTAGCGTGTCGTCCTCATCATCCTGTTCCGCGTCCCATTGGCTTGGAGCGTCCTTCTCGTCGCGAAGTCGAGCATGCATCGACTTCGACTGGTAAGGTTTGCAATCGATGCGCTGCGCGTAAAGAAGCCATTCCAGCGCGCCGAGTCAGGGTCTATACAGCATTCTACAATCGCACGCAACCAACTCACCCTACTCAGTTGAACCTCGCAAGCACGCCCAAGCCAGTCTTGGCACTCCTCTCTCAACCACTCCTTGACCCAAGTCTTTCCCACGGGCAGCAGAAAGTCCTCCAACGCAGCCTTGATGACTTCCCTCCTAAAGTCCGTCCACGCGTACGAAGTCGCAGTGGAATGTTCTCCTGCAAAATTAGCGGTCAAGCGATCCTCAAAGCCTTGAACCTGGTGAGGAGAGAGTCGAACGTCGATATTGACCAGCAGCTTCTCTTCCGCTTCGAGCATGAGCAGAAATTGAACAGGATTCGGCACGGCCGGAGCCAGCTGACCTTCCATTGGAGCTTGATGCTCCCTGAACTCGGGCACGGGCTTCGATATCAGGTACTTGAAATTGTAGAATGGATGTTCCTCGTGAATCACCGACTCGCCGCGTTCTGTCGGAGCGACGCTGACGAAGGCAAAGTCTCTAAACAGACTGCGCACCACTTGCCTCATCGATGGATCACGTCCAATCTCGTTTGCCAGCAGCAGCTTGGCTTCGTCCAAGACGCGCTCCGCCGAGAGCATGTTGGCAGCCGCGTCAAAGTACTGACCAGCTAGCGTGGCTGGGTCCTCTGTCGGATCTTGCCAAGTGTACGGTCTACCGTGCGCAGCTTCGTAATTCTTGTAGAGGTGCGCAGCGGGCATGGCCACCTTGCGAGCAAAGTCCAACGCCATCGTAGCTTTGACGCGCTCGTATCGACTGACGATCGCGGGCTTCTTGAAGGTCGTTGCTGATCCGCCATTGAGGGACAGGCCCGTCTCTATAGCCTGCGCGTCCCGCAGCTTCTGGCCAAACTGCATATTGAGCCAATCCGCCACATCCGCGACCTCCTCTGTGCTCTCTGCGCGCGCAAGCAGCTGCGCAAACTCGTTGCGTTGCTCTTGACTAGGTGCTCCCTTGGGCACGATCGGCGCGACAGCCAGCGACTGATTTTCCTGAGTGGCGTTGACGTCGTCCTGAAGCAGTCGCTCGAACAACTTTCTTAAGCTGTCCTTGCGAGCCAGCAGGGATTTGAAGCGCAAGCAAGCCGAGACGAGGCTCTGCAAATCGCGCCTGTTGAGCAGCGTGATGATCGTAGCTCCCTGTCTATTTCCCGCGCCGAAATTGTGCTGCGTCCTGAGCTCATGCTCGTCCGCATGATGGACGTACAGATACATGGCATCTCTGCGCTTGTTCAAGACGTGCGCAACAGTCGTGCGAACGCATTGCTGCCAGACGCCCAAGAATTGATTGAACTCGCCTTCGGGCGAGAGGAAGAGCCTGTAGCATCGTTGCGATATGCGTGCATTGACCCATCGAGCTGCATCGTCCAGCTCGGAAGAGGTGAGTTGTCTCTCTAGCAGCTGCAGCCCATCCTCGCCCGGCAGTGCCAGTTGCCACCGCTCGGGAAAGTCGGCTCGACGGATGCGGTCGTCGTCGTCGGTCAGCATGCGCTCCTTGATCGCAGCCGGCTCAAAGATCTGCATGTGTTGGCGCGAGCATGGCAGGGAGCGTCAAGTCAAGCGCTGAGACGAACAAAGAAGGTGCACAAAAAATGCTGTACTCACGTCTTTGAACTCGAGCTTCTTCTTTCTCTGCTCATCCGCCAGCTCATCCTCGTACATTTCGTCTTCTTCTTCTTCTTCCAGCGCTCCCTCTTCGCCTTCCCTATCGCCCTTTTTGAAAGCCCAAGCGTAATCTTCGCCATTTCCAAACACATCATTGAGCTCTTCCCACTGATCCTGATCGATGCCCGCGCGCGTAGGGTCGAGGTCCAAGCCGGATTTGGAAGCCTTTCTCGCTTCCCTCTCTTCCTTTCTCAATCTGCGCTTTTCCGCTCGACGAGCTTCCCTCTCTCCGTCAGAGATGGATGCGTCCATGTCGGAATCCTCATCATCGTCGATGAAATCTTCCATGTCGTCTTCGAAGCCAGAAGGAGCAGCTTGAGCGGCCAAATCGCGCTCACGCCTCGATCTTGCATCCGTCGTGCGACGAAGGGCATTGGCAGCCGATGGCAAGCCGTCATCCTCCTCCTCCTCCTCCTCCTCCTCATAAGTGTCTGCGCGCCTTTTAGCAGTTGCAGCGACAGCTGCAGCTGGACCATCCTCGTCATCATCGTCGAACATGTGACTCAGATCTTCGGGACGCGAATCGGGACGAGGTTCGGGCGCGGGCGTAGCTGAACCTCGACGAAAACGTTTGAGTTTCCTCTCCTCTTTTCTTCGCTTGACGCCAGTGTTCTCTGCCAGCAGATCCAAATCGTCTTCGTCCAGCTCCTCATTCTCTTCCTCTGTACGGTGGTAGGGAAAACGGCAAGGCAGCGATGCATACATGCGGCGTGCGATCAGCCCCACACCCTTTTTCTCGCACTCTCTCTCTCTCTCCATCGCGTCGCTGCCTCTTACCCCAAAAGAAGACTCACCGAGCTGTCTTCTCCTCTTTTGTTTTCTCCGCTTCCTCTTTCTCCTCCTTTCCTGCTCGTCGTCATCTTCCTGCTCCTCATCCTCCTCCTCATCCACGATGAACCCTTGAGCGATCCTGCGCGCTTCTTCCGGATCATCATCCTCATCCTCCTCGCTCGAATCATCCTCCTCCGCATCCTCTTCGCTACCAGCGATCAGTCCGCGCTTATTTCCTCCTGCAATGTCTTCTCCGGAATCTTGAGAATCTTCTTCTGCTTGCCGCGCGCGCGAAGGACTGCCTGCGGACGACATGGCTCAATCAGGCAGGCGGGCAACAATTCGGGTAAGCAGGGTGAGAAGGGTGAGAAGCAAATCTGTGAGCGATGCGATGCGGGCTCAGAGAGAGTCGTCGCTGCGAGTCAGCGAAGTGGGCGCGCGCGAAAAGGCATGTACAGTCACCGTCGTGAGTATGATGGAAGATCGCATCGTTGACCCCAGCCAGCACAGTCACGAGTCCAACGCCCACGCCCACGCCCACGCCCACGCCCACGCTGCCGATGCACGCGCGATGCACAACATCAGCGACGACCGCGCATGCTATATGGATGGTCGAAGCTAGCAAAGAGAATATTCTCGAGCGCATTCCCGATGCATGCGTGATTCACGATTCACTTCGTCGATTCAAAATTCACGTGATTGGATAACGCGGCGGGGGGCGCGCAGTTTGAATGTACAGATAGGCGAGCGAGTGAGCGAGCAACTAACTAATCAAATGATGCATCACGAATGCCGCGAATCTGAATGACGGACAGGCGAATGATAAGCGGTGGGTGCATTTGAATTTGCATTTGGTAGCAGGGTTGCATTCACGATTGCATCCATGGATGCGTTGGCATACTTGCACTTGCGCTTGCACTTGCACTTGCGCTTGCACTTGCACTTGCACCTACACCATCCTCACTCACACTGCTCATCCCTCTTTCACCCTCAGCACCACATCCGTACGCCCGCTCGCAAAGGCTCAGCAGCAGCAGCAGCGCTCGCAACGACAAGCACCCAGCACACCACAACACACCACAGCACAGCACAGCAGCGCGGCGGGGAGGGGCACACGATGGGTCAAGCGGATTATCCACAGATTTGCCCTGGAGGCGGTCTGATCATCTCGTGGCAGCTGAAGAGGAAGCGCGTGCTGCTCGTAGGTGGCGGTCCCGTAGCAGCCGGTGAGCATCTTTCATGTCACGTCACGTCACGTCACGTCACGTCACGCACGAGAACACTCGCGCGGCAAGCCCGGATGCGCTGGCTGACCATAAATGCGCATATACACGCTCCCTCACCTCACCTCACCTCACCTCACGCCACGCCACGCGAACGCGCAGGTCGATTGGTGAATGTGAAGGATGCGGATGCCATCGTCACCGTCATTTGTCCCTCTTCCGGTCTGTGCGGGGAGATGAAGCATCGCATATATGTGGAGAAATGCGTAGACGAGTATGAGGATCGGGTTTTTGGGGGAAAAGAGGATGTGATGGGCTACGATATGGTGCTAACGGCGATCGACGATGCCGCTTTATCGCGAGAAATCTGTCAAATGGCCAGAGCGTTGCGCATCCCCGTCAATGTGGCGGATGTACCGCCAGAGTGCGACTTTTACTTTGGAAGCTTGATACGAAGAGGTCCATTGCAAGTGATGGTGAGCACGGGGGGCAAAGGTCCTCGCATAGCCGCCCAAACCCGTCGCATCATTCAACGAGCCATTCCGAAGAATTTGGGCCAAGCCATCGAAAATGTGGGCAGGCTGAGAGCCATGCTGAGGAGCGAGGCGCCGCAAGCCGCTGCCGGTCCCAAACGCATGAGCTGGATGATCGACGTTTGCGAAAAGTGGTCCTTTGACGAACTGGCAACGCTGGAGGAAGACGAGATGCGCATCATCCTTCGAGGTTGGAAGGATGGAAGTGTGCCGAGCGCCAGGCAGGTCAGAGGCATCAGCAGGACGTTGCCGGATAGCAAGCGCATCCGCAAGGCAATCGTTGGCAGGTGCCCCGTTGCCGGTTACATTTCACCTTGGCTTGCAGGCTTTGCGGGCATCCTGCTCGGATCCGCAATCACCTCTACCCTCTTCATCGCACGATCATCCAAGCGAGCGTGAGGCGCGAGGCGCGAGGCGCGAATGTCAGCGGGCGAGCAGGCCTGCCGGCATCTACTCCTACCTCTTCCGCCCTCCCCTGCTGCACAGCCATGTATCAGTAAGCCCAATCCCACAGACGCGTCGCCTCGCGCACTGCAATGCCATCATCCCGTCACTCTATTCGCATTCCGAGCCCGTCTACGAACGGACCGACGGAAAAAGTCAAAATGATACTCCCTCTGCATGTACAAACTTCGGTCGGAACCTTGTGAAGAAATAGCCAAGTCCTCGTACAAGATCATAAAAAGGTGGGGGAAAAAGAGAGGGGATTTCTCGACAGAAGATGAAAGAGACATGACTCGCAGCTAGCTAGCTCACTTTTCAGCTAACCTGCCAGACGCTCTCGTCGCTCTAGCATACGCCGGCAATCCTTTTGACCTCGTCGTGGTGGTGGTGGTGGTGAAAGTTCCATAAATAGCCTGGGGCAAAGGATTCGCCTTTGGATTTCTCCTCTTTCTCTCCCTCCTGTCCTCTTCCTCTTCCATCTCCACTCTCATCCTCTTTGCCCTCTCCCGCTCCCTTTCCAACTCCTCCTCGTGCGCTCGGCGCTTCGTTTCCCACGCTGCGCGCTCTTGCAGACGCGCTTCGATGCTCGATACGAACGGCACAGGCGCCGAGGCGGGGCAGGGGCCGGGGCCGGTGTGGGATTTGGAAGCTTTGGCGTTCGCATGGGTGCTGGATGATGCCGTTCCAGGGGCTTTTGAAGACCTCGTCACGCTCGACGTCGTCTTGGCACGCCTGGAAGATTTTCCCAATTCCTCCTCCCTCACTCTACGTCTCTGCAAGTCCAACCTCTCCTGTTCCAGCCTGGCCAGCTCCTCTTTGCGTCTCAACAACCAAGCAGGTACAGGATTAGCCTTTGGTCCCTTTTTGTCATCCTCCTCACCCGCCCTCCTCCTGCCGCTGCTGCTGCTCGTCTGCTTCTCGTCGCGCTTCTTGCTCTGCAAATGCGCCTTTTTGGCCCGATTTGCTCGCTCTGAAAAGGTGAAGCTGGAAGATTGGGCAAGGGGCACTAGCGTGCCTGTAGAGGAGAGCCTGTAGCCCGCTGGAATGTGCAACGCACGACTTGCGCCTTCTTTCTCCTGCTCCTGCTGCTCCTGCTCCTGCTCCTGCTCCTGCTCCTCAATCTTGTCGCTCAACCTCGCGCTACGTCGAGGTCTGCTAGACGGTGCTCCTGCCATTGTCGCAGTCGGAGCGTGTCGCTCTGCAATCGCTCTTGACGAGTCAGCCACGCGTTCTTGCTCGCTCCACTTGACCGCAGGCTCGACATCAAGAGCAGGTCGAAGTGCGCCCCCATTTCTGCATCCTTCCCGCAACTCATGCAGAGTCAACATCTCAAGAGCAAACCCATCTTCCTCCTGCGCTCCGCCAGCAGCAGCAGCAGCAGCAACTCGAGTCTCTCTCCTCTTGCCGCTCTGATCATTCTTGACGAGCCAAGCTGCCTTTCTGAACGAATCTTGCACCTTTTCTTGCCTCTTTGCGCGCGCTCTAGCCGAAGGTGTAGCGGGCGCAACACCTTTCGGCGCACTCGGTTCCGCTCTCTTCCTCGCCGCATCCTGTTCCGCTTCGCCGCTGCTCGTCGTGGCCAGCGCCATAGCCAACGATTTCTTTTGGACTTCTTTGGCGCGCACCGCTGCATCGGAATCCGAAGGCGCACGTTTGTGCGCGGGCGAAGCGAGTCGACCAGACCTTACGGGACTTTTGACTTTGCTGCTGCTGCTGCTGCCCTTGACTTTCTTTGCACTAGGTGCTGGCCATGCCGTCGTAGTCGTCGTAGTCGTCGTCGTCGGCTTTGATGCAGATGGCTCGGCGCGCGCATCGGACAGGCCAGAAGGAAAAGTATCATGTCCGATTGAGCGCTTTTGCACATCCTTGGCAGACGTGCAAGGCATGAGCTTGGCAGTGCGGAGAGTGCAAGTGCGCTTCAAGTGCACATCGCTCTGCTCATCCTTCCCACCATTCACATTGCCGTGAAGCGAGATCTCCCTTTGCGCCTCCTCCTCCTCCTCCTCCTTCTTCGTCTTCCTTGCGCTTCCACACTCTCCCTTGCCCGTCGTCTTCTCGCTGCTCGACAATTTCGCGCGCGAATGCAGCTCTTGCTCGCCCTTCCTGGGCTCCTTCACCGCCTCCATCTCCCGGGCGACATGGAGCGTGCGCCCCTCTTCTTGGCGCACCTCCGCAAGACTTTTCCTGCCGGCGGACAATCTAGCCCAAAGCTCCGCATCAGGCAAGGCAGGAGGAGCAGTCGCATCCTCTCCCCCACCCTCTTCCTCCTCCTCCTCCATCTCCTCCCCATCCCCTTTCATCTTCCAAACAGGCATGATCGACTTTCTCGGGGAGCGTTTGCCTGGCGAACGAGTTTCTCTCTTCCTGCTGCTGCTGCTGCTCTGGCTCTTCTTTGCGTCTTTCGAACGTCTTCGCCTTGCATGCGAACCTTCTCGCAGCTCGTCCGCCGCTAGCACCGCTTCAGCAGATGCCTCTTGACCGCTAAGCTCATCCGAACGCGCCTGCCTCTGCTCCTGCCTCTGCTCCAGCGTCTGCTCATGCGCCCGCGCCCGCGCTTCTCTGAGCGCTGCTGCCAAAGGGTCGACGAGTGCTGCAGCACTGCACGATTCGTGGGAAGAATGCTCCGACGTCTCCGAAGTCTCCGAGATGCGAGGCATGCACGGAGGACCGACGGAGCGACGGATAGGCACAGCAGCTCGAGATTGCTGCGCTGCTCGTCGTCCAGTCGCACCTTGACGCTGATGCTCCTCTGACGCTTTCTCCTCCTCCTCCTCCGTCGCTGTGGATGCTGATGCTGTTGATGCGCCCATTGTGATTGCGTGCCCCTGCGCACCGCGTCGAGGTCTAGAAGCGTGATTCTTGCTCTGCCTCTTCTTCATCTCCTTGCGCTGCTTATCCGTCGCTTCAGCGTCATTCTCCACGAGTCGCTGCATGACAGACTCATCGGCCTGCTTGTGCTTGCTGGACTTGTTTGTAGAGCGCACACCATCACGAGCCATGCGTGCCTCATCCTCCTGCTTCTCGCACTCGCGCTCGCACTCGCGCTCATGCGTCGCCCACGCCAGCCTCTCCAGCTCTTCTTCGCTCATCGCCGAAAGGTCCAACTCGATCTCCTGCTGCACCTTTGCCTCAAAGCTCGCCTTTGTGCGCTCCTGCGAGTCATCGTCATCAGACGCGCGATGATGCTTCTTTGCCACCGCCGCCGCTGCAGCCGCAGCCGCAGCCGCCTTGCTCGATTGTGATTGCACCACATCCTCATGCTCGCGCCCGCGCGATGTCGATGCACCCTTCATCGACGCGCCCGCGCTGCCCCGCTTGCTCTTCTCAGGACTGGACCAATATCCAAACAAGCTCTTCTTCTCTCCCTCTTGCACTTTTGCCCTGACAGGACTGCTGAAATCGTTGAGCGTGCGTTTGGGCGGAGAACCGGGTGGTGGGGCGGCAGGTGCTAGACGGATGGACCAATCCATGTCCATGTCCATGTCCAACAGTTGCGTCGTTGATGTTTCGCCCAGATCTGGCAGGGCCGTCATCGTCGTGTCTGCCAGGTTCGGCATTGTGCGAGAAGGAGGAGGAGCGGGTGGGCATGCACGTGCGCATGGGCGTGGGCGTGGGCGTGTCTGGGCTTGAAGAGCTTCGTACGCTGCTGTGGCGGGTGAGGATGCGGATGCGGATGCGGATGCGGATGCGGGTGAGGATGGGGATGAGGATGGGCAAGTGGGAAGCTCACGAAGCGCCGCTTCATGCGCCCAACATTCCTCTTTCCCCTGCTCCCGTGCCTGCTCTCGTGCCTGCTCCCGTGCCTGCTCCCGTGCCTGCTCTCCTACCCGCCCTTCCTCTCCTTCCGCACACTTGCCACCACCACAACTCTCACCGCTCTGCTGGGCGTGCGTGGACTTGCTGACACGGCCATCACCATCGGGCGAAGCTTGCTGCAACAACAACTTTTGAAATGTTTTGGGCGTCAGGTTGTTGGGATCTGTATTCTCGTCCAGCCTCATCTTGTGCGCGTGGGTGTGGGTGTGGGTGTGGGTGTGGGTGAGCGATGAGTTGAGCGTGGCTTGGTGAGGATGGTGGATGGTAGGTTGATGGTAGCGGTGCAGTCATGCGTCACGAGTGTTGGTCATGCGTCATGAATTGAATGCTGGTTAATTGGTGATTTGCAAATGAGGACTGTGACTTGTATACGCGCCCTGCACCGCGCGTGGATGTGGATGTTGATGTTTGTTGATTTGGCCCGCCCGCCCGCGCGCGCGCGCGATTAGCTTTCTGATTGATCTCTTCTTGACGCAAACCGCGCGCGCACGCGTGGGTGCCAGGCGCGTGAACATGAATGAGAGTCACGAGTCAGAGTCACGACTCATCATGAGTTTGATCTGGGTCCGACGAGTCACGAGTTGAGTTGAGTGTTGAGTCCATGCATGCAGCACGTATACCTACCTGACTCGGACTGTGTGTATGCTGCCGATCACGTGTTTTGTTGTTGGGGAGAGTTCAAAAACTTGAATACGGTAACGCGATGTTATGCGTATGAAATACATTCAACTCTGACTTGAATCGAATGATTCAAGGGTCTGATTTGTGATTTGTGATTTGTGATTTGTGATTTTGATTACTGTACAGTAGTCAGGTTCACGTGATTTGATTGCGATTCACATTCGAATACGAGCTTCATATTCGTGATTCGATTGTTAGGTTATTGCTTATTACGCCCACGAACGTCGTTGCGTTGATGTTGGATGCAGCAGCTGCACCACGACGACCACGACCACCGCCACCACCACCACCACCGCACACCCAAACACCCATCACCGCCATTCACATTACGCGTGCGCGACCGCGCCTGCTCGACCGCTCAGCCCGCGAAAGTCAAAGTCGGCCAGTACGTTCCGTGCTGCACGAGGTCTTTCATCGAGTGCGAGTGCGAGTGTCAGTGTCAGTACTTATCTCTGTCCAGCTGGATGGGTCTCGCGTTGCCGCATACAGTCTCCTCGGTTTCGCACGCCATCAGACCATCACCGACCCACACGACTCGCGACTCGTTTCATGCCCTAGCCACTCACGTCTATCGGTGTGCTTCCTTGTGCTCTTACCTCGCCCTGCCCTGCCCTCTCCTGCCCTGCCCAATCCAGCTTTGGTCGTTGCTGACGCTGGTCTCGCTCTCTTCCTTGTCCATCGTATCCTCGTGCTCCTCTTCCCTCTCCTCCTCCTCCTCCTCCTCCTCATTCTTACCTCTCTTTATTCCTTTTGCCAGTCCTACCCCGCCCTGCTCAGCTTCCTGCTGTCTACATCTGGACCACACCGAGCCGATGCGCTGATCACCATCACGGCCAAGGCAAAGTTTGCCTCGGCATGGCTACGGCATCGTTCAGTACACGCATTCGGCGACAGTCAAGGCCGCGCACAGTCCAATGAGCGAGACTGCTACAGAAGCGATGTCAGGGGCAGGGCTAGGCTTGGACACCCTGGAAGCCCTCTACTTTCCCAGCTTGGGTGATCTGCAAGATGCGGCCAAGGGTCAGCAGCATCGACAAGCAACGGTGGCCACAAAAGGCGAGGAGTCAGCATTGTCTCCTGACCGCATTCACAGCAGCCACGTCCTCAAGCAGCTGGAGAAGCTTGCAACTGAACTGACCACCACTGCCTCGTATGCGGACTCATCTGCTGCACAACAGCAGACCTCGTCTACCGGGGTATCATCCTCCACTTCAGCGCGCTCACATCCCCCACGCCAATCAGTCCCTCACCCCAACTCTTCAGCATCTACCACCCTGTCCCCTCCTCCAACCACCGCAGACGAAATTGATCGACCTTTGCTGCAGCGCTCTGTGCGCAAGATTGATCGCAGGCCTTTGTTGGTAGAGTGGAGACCTGGAGTGCAGGGCGATCGATGTCGTCGACTTGCGCAAAGCGCTTTGCGCGCTGAGCCAGTCCAGGCTGCCATCGAAGAGATATGTACGACGGCAAAAGGTGCGAGGGACGAGACTGCGCTCGCTGTCGCCATTACCAAGCTCCTCAACCACTTTGGTGTTCAGCTACAGCTGCTGCTAGCTGCATCGCTCTCCACGTCCGAGCGTCCTTCTGCCCCTTCGACAGCTGAGCAGCCTACATTGGGGCCTGCACGTGCACCTACTCGGACGGATGCGGCAAGATTCGCCGACTTGCCCGTTCGCGCTGTTGAGCGAGGCACTCTGTCAGTGACAACCGCCGGTCCAGAAAGCAACAGGCCCGACATTGTTCTTCAAGCCAAGCCTGGTAAGGTCATGTGTGCGGATCTTTGCGACGCACAGAGCACTACAGGCGATGGCGCATCGGACGCGCAGGGGCAGGGCGGTCCACATCCATGGTTATTCTACGTAGCCGCCGTGGAGGTCAAATTCAAGAAGAGTGATTTGCTCGCTACCCGCACGGTGGGCCAGATTTTTCGATATGGGGTGAGTGCGATGATCGAGGATGGGGATCAAGAAGGGGCGGTGAAGAATTGCGACTGACATACCATGGCGCGGCTGCACATCACTCGCCGCTTGCCTCTCAGCGACAACTGCTCGTTGGCCACCCGTTCGCTGAGCGTGTGCACGTGCTTTGTTGGGCGGGACTGAGGTTGCAAGTCTGGCAATTCAATGCCAACGCAGTCTTCGTCTCTCCGATCATCGAAATTTCGAGGAGCACAGCGCTTCAGCAGAGCGGCGATGCAACAGCCCACGACGATCTTCCTTTTCGAATCGCTCACGCAATGTATCACGCTGAATTAGCGCTAGCAGTAGAGGGGCCGCGAAGGAGAGCTTTCAACTCATCAATGTGACGCCCCCGTGGTTTGTCCCAGACTGACTGCCCTCGACACACCTTGATGGCGATCCCGTGCAGTACGAGATCGTGCAATATTCCGCTGACATCGCGGAAAAGAAGATTCAGGCACAGCGACTATCTCGCAAAGTGCAAGTAGTCTGCAGTTGCGCCTCATACGCCACAACGTCGTTTGCTCAAATTCGGCGGGGCTGTGCAGGGATCACCTCACGAGTGTGTGTGATGGAGCAGCTCGTGCTCTCGGTGCGGGATGCCTGGTGACCGCAAGCAGACAACGTATGGTACGGAGAGACATTGGCCACGAAAGTATACAAGAGGACTCATTCATGCTTGACTTGGAAAGAAGCTTCGCAGACCAGAAACAGACACCGTAACTTCAAACAATACAAGCAACACATTCCAAAAGCCCAACAGCCCAAGTGCAACCAAATCGACAGCGCTATGGAAATTCTTCATCTCGACTTGCACCTTACTCCTGGCCTCGAGCTTCACCCTGGCGGTGAGACCAGAGCCTGGAATGGTGATTTTCTACGGTGCGTTGCAAGCGCGGGATCTGAGTCTATACGACGACCAGAGCTTACCCTCTTTCCTGGCCCTGGAACTTTCAGCCGTCGACAAGGCCCCCAATGGCATGGACCTCGCTGCGATTCAAGCGGCTTGGAAGAAGCCGTGCACCGAACAGTATGGTGGTGACTATTACAACGTCTCCGCGACCATGAACTTAGCGTGGTGCTACAGTGGCCTGTAAGTCAGCCGCGTTGTTGAGTATGCAGGCGCCTTCGTTGACGACGGAGGCCTCCCACTTCTACACCACAGCACCGACAAGGGCGCCTTGGTGGCTCAGTGGCTGCAAAATCAACAAAAAGACCAGTGGACCTTCACCAAGATCGATCAGACCGGTTATGACACCGATTAGCAACGTGAACATCTGGGACACGGGCTCTTGGGCGGGTCATTAACGGGCCTCGCTGTAAGGGGAGCATCACACATGAGCCTGAGAGAGTGTGCATGTTACCAGAGAATAGATCTCAACATCAAGCAGAAACGTCGGCTTATCGTACACATGTATGTTTTTGCCAGTGTTTTGCTTGGCTTCCAACGCGATGCAAGCGCAATTCTGTTCTCACAACACGTCGGATCCTTCGGAATACTATACCTTTCCGCTGTCTTGAAGGTAGGCCCAATTTTCAGGATAAGCCTCTGCATAGCGCGTCTTGGCGCGCATCGAGCAGCATCGTCTCTCTTTGATAAAGTCTTTCACCTCTTGTGATGATCTGAAGCTTGCCGCGCCTTTTCCAAGACGAAAGAGAGGGCCTTGACAAACAATGTCGGGATGCTTGTGGCGCTCGTGCAAAAGTTTGTTGCCTTCTGCTTTGACCTCCTTGTAAGATCCAATCCAAATGTGTCGGATAGCGCACGGGTGCGGCTTGCGTCGACGCTCGAAGCCACCCCGATTGGCTTCGTCCCTGAGGAATTCGCGAATGTCATGAAGATCATACTCAGTCATCATCTTTCGACAATGACTGATCAATTCGTACAATGAGGGCCTGTCGTCGTTCCCTTTCGCGCTCCCGAACGCAAACCCTTCCAGTTGATAGCGGCTACGAATCAAGGAGCGAGAGGGCGGACACAGCTTCTTGTAGAAAGCATCATGATCCGCGCTCTTATCTTTTGCATAGCCGCTGAAGGGGCTATGCGCAACCAAGCTTGGCAGTATCAGCGACCAGACCGGATCCATCTCATCGCTTGTGATGGCCGCGTAGTAAACGTCGTCACAGGAGCTCAGCAGGCCCTCGCCGTTCTCATTTTGCAGGTAATAGCTGAAGAAATCGAAGCTCATGCCCAATGTGTGCTCATGCTCCGGCGAAACTTCACTTGCTACCTCGAAACGTCCTGTAGCTTGGTTAGGGATGGCCTGGAAAGTACGAGCGGCGGTCAACATGTAATTGTACGGTGGTGGACGCGGACTGTCGCCGCTCTCGGCTATCTCTTCTTCCGCTTCGTCGTCTCTTCGGCTTTCAACTGGGGACATTCGGACGCGCCTGATCCTCAGGTTGAGCATGTGCCCGTTACGGTAAGCGTTGCCAAGCACCACTAGCGTTTGTGGGACGATGGCTTGGACCGGTATGCCAGCTCCGTCCTTCTGAGGGCAGGAGGAGACAACTTGCGCAACGGCGGCGGCGAGCTGCTTCTCGAACGTCAATTGAATTGTGGGCGCGTCGTGGGCATTCGGCGGCTGAAAGCCATCCGCGCTGGCGTCCACTGCCTTCTTGAAAATTGCCTTGGTGCACGCCTCGCCCAGCGCGGCGCGAAGGTCGTAAGTGTGGTCTTTGCGGACAGGCAGCCCATCCTTCGTGCCGGGCATTTCAGCCTTGTAGGCGAGATCGCTAATGTCCGAAAAGTAGCCGCCGTTCTCGTCGTTGAAGAAAAGGCTGTTCTCGGTGTTGCTATAACACAATCCGCACGCCTTCAAGACCTCGTCGCCAACGACGTTGCTGAAATGATCCAAGTACTGAGCCAGATTGTCTGAGATGGGCTTGCCGCAGAAGACGTCTTCAGTGGTTCTGATCTCCTTGAGCGCCTTTTCTCCAACAGGTCGTTCCAAAAAGTCCCTTGCCAGACGTTGAAACTCTTCCAATTTGCCGTTCCGAAGGAGATATGTGTTTAGCGCTTGAGCGGTATCGAGTAGCACCATAGTTCGCGACTGACAGCTAGTGTCTCCTGTGAGCGCATCGAGCTTCAGCCTGTCGGCTTCAGGTACAAGAAGAATGCAGATTGCCATGGCAGGATGCTTCTTTTCGACGAGAAGCTTCCGCGCTTCATCCTGCATCACCGCCAAAATTGAAGTTTCGGTCTTCTTCTTTCGCATTGTGGACGTGTGTCGATGGTATTCGAGAGCTTGCAGAAGGGACCTGGCTCTGGACTAGACTTTGACAGGAGGTGCAAGCATAATCTGGAAGTTCTCGCTTCGCATTATGTACTCGTAGCCACGCGATGATTTATGTGGCTCGATGAGCGCCTGAGCCTCCAGCACACAAAATCACTGAAGCCGGCAGCATCGACCACACATCGCTACTCTCCGGCTAAGGGCAGCTCTGAGCGCATGGTGCGCAAATAGGGTCAAATGATGTGCTCGTCAAACGCTTGGCCGCGTCTGACCAAAGTGAGAGGCGGCCAAATGGTAGAGTGCTTGACGCTTTGAAAGAAGGTCCTCAAAGCTCAGCAAATGGACGTGACCCTTCAAGTTTCATTGAGTATTCAAGTTTTGATTGGACATGTTTGATGACTATTGCACGGCATATGCCAGATTGCTCGCCCTTATGGGCAATCTTGTTCAGTCTCACCTTCCCCTTCAGTCTCACCTTCCCCGTCGACGTACGAGGCAGCATCCTCGTCGGTGCAAGTTTACAATGAAAACGATATAAGCCCCTACCAAAGTATGGTGATGCGATGCGTTTGATCAGCTTTCCAGGGACCGTTTTCATCGATTTGCACATCGGCGCGATCGATCCGACTGATTGTCTGAACACCCATGCGAGCCGGTAAGAATGTGAGGTCGATGTTGTTCGCTGCTGTCAGCGGCTTGCCACGCTTGGCATGGAGCTTCCTGAGCGAATCAAGCGAGACAGTAGGAGCAGGAGCAGATTCGAGAATCATATCAAGCACGGGTTGTTACTTCACCAAGATGAGGTACCCACACCAGGTTGCGGTTCTTGCGGAGGGCGAGGCCGGAGTGGGTGGCTTAAATACAAGCCTGAGGTGTACCGCTCGACTGGATGCAGCCTCCTCGCCGAGTCTGCAAAGCTTTGTTTGCAGCTACAACCCTCTCACAGAGGCTCAAGGCGTCACGCGCGAACTCTGCGCATGCGAAGTCCCCCCCGTGCATGATGCAATCGTAAATGTGAATTGCAATCCGTGATGACACACCCGCATTCCTTTCGGCACACTCACGAGTGGTCCAGCAGGTGTGGATCGATGTCCTCCACTTGTCGCCAAGGTGATCCAGACACCTTGCTCACGAGTACAAAATTTGGCGCGTGCCTCGGTAGGGGACCTATACATGGGACTCTGGTAGGGCAAGCTTTCGACAAGCGAAGGCTGTCTACAATGTGAATCACGAGGTACAGTTTTGGTTCCTGAATGGCCGCCCCGTTTCTATTGCTCGCGTTGTATTATTGTCTTGCGCGCAAATGGAAGAGCCAAGAGAAGGTGGTATCGTCTAAGCAGGAGAAGCGTCTATCCGCGAGGCATGGTCGCAGCATTGCTCTCAAAGTGCACTGACTGATTATGAGGAGCGCCGCACGGCAGAATTCCATGGGATGCAGCTTGCGTAGTCTGCCAGCGCAACCAGGACCTGCGCCTGTAGCCCTGTCGTCATCAACGATGAGCTCCTGCGCACTTTGTCCCAACTTTCCAGCGGTCGCGCGCAGACTGTCAAATAGCTCGGCGCACACACCTAAACGCTTACCTCCCTCTCTCCCCATGGTGGGGAGCACTTCCGGACCCAAGGATTTCGCAAAGTGCGTCGGGATAGCAAAAGTAACCACGCTGTGCAGATGACTCGCCGTTTACAGCCCCGGCCAAGTCTGATGAAATTGGGGAACGCCAACGGACCGGAGAGGTACTCTGAAGGCCTGGAGCAGGCTGCGACGCAGTGGAAAGGCCTATTAGGGCGAGCCTCTTGGATGAAGATGATCAAGACAGAGATGCTTCAATCTGCCGTACCGAGCGCAGGAAGCTTGCACGCAGATACTTGGGGTAAGAGGCAGTCGCTTGCTTCATCAAGTGTCGTGTATTCAGGATACCGCCCAGAAAAGCCTTACAATGCAGCGCTTGCTTCGCGTTCTTTGCCCCCTTCGATACTCATCATCTTACAGAAATTGCACTGTCCACTATCCAAAGCTCCTAGCCTCTGAACTGCCTACCTTAAGATTCGCAGGCATCACAAAGCAACGCAGAGGCCCCGCTGCTGACTCACTCTCAAGCTCACTTGCTCGTCAGCAACACTACCGTCATGAGGCTCTTGACCACTTGTTCGCTTTCGTTCATGGCTTTGCTGCTAGTCTTTGGACGGCAAGCTCAGGGTGTCGAGGGTGTTGTCAAGAGGTGGGAATTTACAGTCAAGTACAGTGAGTGCAGCACGTGAGCCACGCTACATCGGATGCCTCTGATGGAGCTGACCGACTCGTCGTCGGGCTGCATGCGCAGCCGTAGACAAGTGTCCGAAGGGCTGGTATAAAGAGGGCAAGATCGGCCCTGCTTGGCAACAAGCTTGCAACGACGCCGGCGGTGACTATGGCCACTACGAAGGCGGTAAAGAGAATACGGTGATATGCACCAAGGGGTGAGCTGTTTCGTGATGCGCCAACGAGACCCAGTCTCTCACATCGTCCATCCCCTTTCTCGATTTTTTCTTTGCAGCGAAAACAACCTCGCCCCACAGGCAATGAATATCCTCTTCAAGAACCAGCCAGGACAATGGGCGTTCAGAGAGATTCCGTCCTGAAGTGGTTTGCACGAGCATGCCGCCCTGCTGGCAGTCTTCCACGTCTAAATATGGTGTAATGGTCCCTTGTACTCCACCGTGTACCTCGCAGCTCTTGTTCCGTACCGTGTGTCCATGCCATCCAAATCTTCACGTCATGCAATCCTTCAGCGCTCAAATCCCGACCTTTGCCCCGTCCATGCCGCCATGCCTCGCGCCTCGGTAAGCATTGTCTTGGGCATGCTTCCAATGCTTGACCCGCTACTGCCCAGACACGTGTGCGCCTGGGATGAGTCCAGCGCTGCTTGTGCTTGTCAGTGGCGCCGCGGATCAGCTCGAAGGAAGCTGTTGAGCGTTGAAAGCTACTCTCCATTGACTCATGTTCGCCATAGCAGGGGCTGTAGCTCGTCGAAGGGCTCGATGATGGGCGCATTTCTTGGGTCAGGGTGATCTATCTGCATGGAAGGACGCCCACATACATGCGCGGCGCAATGCAGGCGCGCGCGCGGGCGGACGGGTGTGCAATAGCTGCTGCATCTGCTGTCAAAGTGGGACGGCCGGGCCTCGAACTTTTGCACACAGTGTGCGAATGCAACCAAGATAAGGGGGCAACAACCAAAACTCACACTCTTGACTCGGGATTCAGCCATCGCGACGCTGCCCCCAGGTGTCCTAGCTGTTGTCAGGAGTGATTGCGTGTTCATGAGCTCAAATGCTACGTTGCACGAGCAGCCAACTTGCCAGGCAGCAGGCGGGCAGTGTGAGGTGTAAAGAGTGGATGCATACAGAACACTCTGTTCTGAGAGACTGGATCAGCAGCTCGTCACGGCGTCAATGAGACTGGGGTATCGTTGCTCCTCAGCCACTTTCGGCGGCTCGAAGCACGTGAGATCTGTCCGGGACATCCTAGCATAAGATGAGCGCAAGGTTCGGCGACTCTGGCTCGCCGAGCACGAGAAAGTCATCGATGGAGGTAAGGTTGGACTGGGCAGAGGCGCACGCAGAATCGTGCGCGACCCAACCAGATCCACTTTTACCTCGACTCAACGGAGCGACACTGGACGGCGGGCGCTCGACGTCATTTCTAGGCGACGACGGGCCGTGCAGATCAAGCCATGTTCGGCGTCCACCTGGCAGGCAGGTGACGCGATCGAACGGCAGTTTTAGTTTCAGATCTTGCCAGATTGCGTTGCAAGCACACGCCTACCGAACGAAGTCCGGCGTCTAGACTGCCTTGTACGGCGACCAGAAGCTGTGGCAGAAGAGCGCGGGGACTGAGTCAAGATTAGCTTTTTGATGTCTGATCGTGCCAGATGATCAGCCGTCTCGGCTTGTACGGCAGCTCGACGAAGACTGCTGTGCCTGCCTCCCCGGCACGCATGTCGCAAACCAGACGGCCATGCAGCAAGGCGAGACTGGAGGTACAAAAGACAACCTGTCGAGATCTTTTCCCCGTCCGCCAATGCCCAGTATTGACCCAACAAGCAGCAGACCTTAGACCCGATCGAGCCCTTTGCACACCAGACCCTCGACGCCAAGCGTCCAACACAAAAAGCAATTGAAAGCCTTTCGTAGGCAATCGATAACCAAGCTTCCACATCTGCATCGCTCAAGCCATGTTGACCAAGTATCTGCTCCTGGTGACTGCACTCTTTCTCTTGCTCGCTACACCAGCCCAGAGCGGCGGCGTGGGAGCCGGCCGCGTCAAACATCCGCCCCAGGATAGTCAGGGCGGCAACCGCATTCCTCCAGATTTCGTCAAGCACATGCCCCCGATCCGTCGTCCGGACCCTTCTCAACCTCCTGGCAAGGATAATAGGGCTTCGTCTTACAAATTCGTCACCCCACCTCCCCCGCCTCCCCGTCGCGTCAAGGCTAGACCGCCACCGCGCGTTTACTGTGAGTGCTGCGACTGCAAGTGTCACTCTCATCATCGGCTGCCATGCTCGCTGAGCGGTCACGTCTCTCTTTCTCCCCCTCTGCCTAGGGGTCACCAAGCGCCCAGCTCGTTGGACCGATGCGCAAGTAACGCGAACCTGGATCCTCGCATGCAAGTCGGCGGGAGGAAGAGCTTCTGTGTACGACATAGCACCCATCAAGGTGGAGTGTGTGGACGTAAAGTGAGTGCGGGCAAGGATGTTGAGCGCATGTGCACACCTCGTTGCTCATGCCTGCGCACGTCCAACCGCACACCCTCTCCTCCCTCGCCACGCAGCGGCTTCAGCAAAGCCGACATCGTCGTCAAGACTCTTCTTGCTGCTAGACCGTATCAGTGGACCTTTGCTCCACATTGAATGGCGCGCACGCATAGACGCAGCTCCACTCACACTTCCGCAACAGAAGCTTCCCACTCGCACCGTGCTTCTCTGCTTCGAGCAGCTTCCTGCAGCCTTTCAACCTCAACATCCACATCCACCTTCCCATCCCAGTGTCACGGCGCGGGAGTCGCATGACCTCGGGAACCGACGTACGGCTTCCGTTCGGCGTGCGCACCACGCCCGACTCACGCGAGATGGTGAGACCCAAGCGAGAGGCCATGCATATGATGGGGGGGCAAACATCTCGAGCGTACCCAGTCATGCACCCTCTTGCGGTAAACATGCACGCGTGTACGGCTCGTGCGTGCGTGCAGGTCCAAGCGACTTTATCCCCCGCAATCACACTCTTTCCACTCTAATCGTGAATGTGGAGCGTGCTGTGAAGGCAGTGTACACAGAAAGGCACTCGATCGCAAGCCCCTCTTCGCTCGGATGCTCGAATGCCCTTGGAGGGCGCCGCTCAGGCGCAATGATGACGTCGTGCTTTGAATGCCGAGGCGACGCCGTACGTGTGAGCGTGACTGACTGATTTACAATTGCGCGTCATCAGCACAGCACAGCCTTACAAAGTCACTGTTTGGAGGCCCTTGATTGCGTTGGGTGCCTTGAAGTCGACTTGATTGACTTTCGCTGACCTCGCAGTCATCAGTGTGAGTCGTGAGTGCTGACGTGTGCAGTCAGTCACCAATAATAGCTGCATGGGTCTGCGAGACCTGCGGAACCTGCTCAGCCGCCGTGCATCCCGGCGTGCATGCGCTCGCGATCGACGCAGGACTCTTGACTCGCTTGCCCTGAGCGCCGAGGGCTGATGTTTAGCGGGGATATGTGTGGATGATATGGTGTGCAATGTGTCATACCAAACCCTCACGCGCTCTGCTTGCCATGCATGCATGCACTCACCAACTGACGCACTCAACACTCGTGACTCGTGACTTTTGACTCGCCGTCCGCGCGCATCACGTGGTGCAACTCTGGCGGCACTTTTGTTCAGCAGGGTTTTGGCGCGCTATCATCGCTATAGCTAGCGTCTCGCACGGCGGATTCTTGATTCAAGGTGCTACATACAACAAACATGTTCAAGATTCGTGATTCGTGATTATATGCGTGATTCACATTCGTCATGATTGTGCAGTCCCGGCGAAGCTCAGATGTACGTTCTTGATGATTACGCTTCCAACCCACGACGCGTGGAGGTGTAGATGGAAGTCATGACTGCATACACACCATCCACAAGCCCGCAACTCACACTGTCCACACACGATATCACGCAATGGCTACAGATGCCAGCAGTACACGTCTGACAAGCTCTCCGCAGCAAGACCACGAAGAAGAAGAAGAGGAGGAGGAGGAGGAGGAGGATTACATGTCGCTCGCATTCGTCTCGCAGCCAGTCACCTCGTCTGGAAACTCTGCATGCCCGCAACCCCTCTTGCGCACCAAGCCCAAAGGTAGCAGCAGTACGGCAGGCACACGGCAACGAGAGCTGCTCGCCCGTCAGAAAGGTCTTGATCGCTCCTTGTTCGCTCCTCAGAGCGGCAACCAGTTGCAGCACGAGGGGGATGAGGGGAGCGCGAAGCGGGAGAGCAAGGCGGTGAGGATGATGAAGGGCATGGGCTGGAGCGAGGGCAAAAGCTTGGGCCTTGTTGCATCGAGCGGCAGTGCGCGGGCGCGGGAGCAGCACATGGCAAGAGGCGAAGCGACCGCCTCAAGGAGGAGCGCATCTCCCCAGCCACGCGAGGCAACGATCAGAGGTCCAAGCAAAGACAAAGGCCAATGCGGAGAAGCGCAGAGATCCGAGCTTTCAGCTTCTCATCCCGATGCACTGTTCGAGCCCATCCGGCCAGACGAGCGGTGGGCGGGCGGATGCAAAGGTGGCATCGGATCCCTCTCTGTCCTTCAATCCGTACAGCGCATATCTCAAGCCATCAAGCGCGCAGCAGAGGGAAACGACGTCCAAGGCACGTCGAGCCAAGACTTTGAAGCGAGCTTGAAGGGATACAGGGATAGGGTGGGCGGCAAGGTGCAAGCGCTTAGACTGGAGAAGCTGATGGAATCGGCCAGAAAGACGACGGAGGAGTTGGATGGCAGGGTGAATGTCGAGGTGAGTGTGGAGGGCGATCGTGTGAATGGCTAGGTGTCGCCTGGAGCGAAGGACATGCAATCTGACAGCACCTCCATCTGACGCCGGCTATCCTCGACGCCCAGTACTCGCCCTTGTGGCTCGATCCCCGCTGGCTTTGGATGCCAGATGCTGCACCGTCTGAAGCTGGGAGTGTGATGGAGCAAGCGTTTGGCAAAGCTGAAGGCATGGAAGGGGACGAGGGCGATGGTTGGGACGAGCAAGCGACATGCGTCCACCAAGAGCGCTTGCGAGAGGCACAGCGGTGGGCCAAGCTGGATGTGAGTCGTCCCCCTGTGTTCGCTCTGACTAGCATCGAGCCGATACCCACGCTTCCCGCCTTTCATCAACAACCTCAGACGCCCGCTCGCCTGCAGATCACTCTCGATCACCTTCGCAGAGCGCACAACTACTGCCTCTTTTGTGGTTGCGCTTACGACGACTTTGATCAGCTGCAGAAGCTCTGTCCGGGTCTGACGGAAGAGGATCACGACTGAGATGCCGGGATGGCTGATCCAAAGTTTCGCGGCGCCGTCACGTATCTGATCGTTACAGTCGTGGCTCACGTGTACTGTATTGCCACTCACATCCCAACGCATCATGGGAGTTGTTGCGCGCACGCATTGAGAAGCAGGCATTGCAATGTCTGGAAGGAAGCTTGACGTGTTCGAGGTATCTATACACATGAGACGTGGTGGGCACGTTGCAAGCCTTTCGTTCTGTTCCGCATCTAAGCTTTCGTGTCGATCTTGACGTACTCCTTGTCCTTTTCTGCATCGCTTGCAGCGCTATCGGCTTGCGTGGCTTCAAACACTGCACCAACTATGCCGAGCGCTTGTGCCCGCAACCTCTGCGTCTCCTTGGTAACGCTCTGATCGTACAGTACCCTCTCCGTCACTTCGCGAATGACCGACTCCACTTCGAGTTTGGCGCCCTTGAACAGCGCCCGCATGCTGTCGTACGAATCGCCAGGAGCGTCGCGTGAGTACATACCAGTGCGCTGCGCTCCCAGCCATCTCCATAGCCACTGTGCCCACGACTCACCCTTTGCTTGCCGCCTGATCTTCCAGCTCCTTTTTGCGCTCCTCGGTGATGCCCTACGAGCGGCGAGCGCGACTCGTCAACAACTTCTGACTGCGGCTAACACGCTCCAGACACTCACCTGCTCCTCCGCCTTGGCCAGCTCTTCAAACACGCTCTTGAGCTCCAAAGCCGCTCTGACGGTGCTGACAGTCTCCCTAATGACGTGCATGGAGCTGCTGGCCGAGTGATACAACCCGCCGATTCCCCACAGCATTCCCGTTGCTGCAAGGTAGTGCTTGCTCTTGCTGGAATATACAAAGCCCACCGTCTGCAGCAGCTCGACACCGTACGACTCCGTCTTGAGTTCTTCCGCTTCGATCTTTGTAATCTCCCGGAACGAGTCTGCAATCTGTCGTGCAAGCGCATCGTCGCCAGCATTTCTCACGCTCTCCGTGTACACGCTGAGCTTCCTGATCAGATTCTCGGCAAGCTTGGACACCCTCTCTTCCCGCTGCTTTGCCCTCTCTTCCTCCTTTGCCTTTTCCTTGGCCGTCTTTGCAGCTTTGGCAGCTTCCTTTGCGGCTTTTTGTTCTGGAGTCAAAGAAGAGCCTGGTGCAGCTGCAATCGCATTGGAAGGTCCACCGTTCGCCTTGCTCTCCTCTGAAGCCACCTGCTGCTCCAGTTCGTCCGGATCTTGCTGCAGCGCCTCCTTCATGTCTCGGCCGATGGATATGGTGCCGATCTTTGGGAGAGGCGCATCGCGCTCAGCCAACTCGACGTGGACGCTCGAATTGCGTCGTTCAGTCACTCACGATATCCTTGAAGCGCTGACCGCCAAACAGGCTACCGAACACTTCCTCTGGATCCACAAACCCATCCTCGGGCACCAAGCCAGGCGTTGAGGGTCCAAACTCGTTGCTGTGGTGCGCACCGAGAACACGTTAGCATGCTCACGTATCGCATCGCATCGCTCGCTCTGCTCACTACTTGTGTCGCAACTCGGCATCTGAGAGCACAGAGTAGGCGGTTGCTAGCCTTTTGAACCTCTCTTCTCCTTCCGGGTCGTTTGGATTCTTGTCTGTATGAAATGGTTCGGCAGTGGACATGAGATTGGATGCGAGACGCCCTTGTGCGCGAGCGTTGGGGTACTTACCAGGATGCAGCTTGATGGCCAGCTTTCGGTACGCTTTTTTGATCTCCTCGGGCGTGCACGTCGGCGAGACGCCGAGAATATCGTAGCTGAGCAGTGTGCGCAAGGGGGATGGAGTCAGCTAGAGTCTGCGCGCGCATAGAATGGGCGGCTGGAAGCGTGGCGAGCGCGCATACATGGGCCATGTTGAGCTTCACAAAAATAGCATCGCATGGAGCGCATTGACCAATACACGGCAATCGTTTGCACCGATGAAAGCTGATCGCAACGTCGTGTCGCGCAGGCTCATGCTCAGCCCCCACTCGCAGCACAGCGCAGCATCACTCACTACTCGGTATCGAGCGGCTTCTCATCCGTCCCAATCCTTCTCCTCCTCGCCGCATCTTTTTGGCCCGACCCGCTGGCACCCGCACCCGCACCACTGCCACCGCCATCCCTGCCTGCTCTCGTCTCCCTGACTATCCTAGCAGCGCCAGGCGGTTCGAATCTGCCTTTGCATTTGCAACAAATCACCTTAAACGTCGTCTCGGTGGCCGGCAACTCTCGAAGCGCAGAGGGCTGTGGTGGGAGGTACTCTATGGCGCTGCCGCATTGAGGATAAGGGCAGGTGATGTTGGTGTACGGCTCCTTTGGGCGGGTGGGCAGCACCAGCGCAGATTGCGAAGTCGACATGGTAGATGGCGAGGACACCAGTACTTTGTGCGTATGTAGCGGCGTGCACAATCCAATCCGCACCCGCAGACTGAGTCGTGAATGCGCCACAGACTTTGATGTGGTTGGACGTGAGGATGAGGGAACGGTGGGGCGCGAGCACCAGCGAGCACGACGTCAAAGCCCTCGCCCTCGCACACTCTCTTGGCCCTTGCCCGCCCGCGCAATCGCACCATCGCGCCCTCCACGCGCGAGGCCCCCATCAGCACGCTACCGTGCAGAGCATGCAACTCTCGACTTTTTTCGGTCGTGTGCGTGTGCGCGCGCGCGTGCGTGCGCGCGTCCGAGGTGAGCTGCACTGGGCTTCATCTTGCGCGCGCTCTCGCCCCTCATGTGGGGTCACGTGAAAGCTTGTGATGTGCAACGCGCAGGGGCACGACGTATAGTGTTGCAGGGGAGGACCCAAAAACAAGAGGTGGGATTGTGAACAACGACAAACAGGTTATGGCGCGATCATGGAAAGCCACTTGCTCTTCCCGACCGCAACTAGGGCCACACGGGACAACCTCGGTCAATCCAGTGCAGTTGCAGGGTGTCAATGCCGAGAGGTGTGTGCAGGTCCCGCAGGCGTGCTCTCGAGCACCCTCCAAATGACGGGCTGCGAGCAGGTCGCCAAACCTCAGCAAAGATAGCAGCCTAGGATCATGTGACACTCTGATATGGAGAGAATGTGAGGCATGAGGTTCATCGCAGACGTGTAGGAGCGAGCATAGCAGATGAGCGGATGACCTCAACAGACGTGAAGAACATGCGCTGTGAGGAGCACGACGAGGAGCAATGGCAGGCAGCCCGCCTTTGAAGCTGCTGAGACGCCGTTGCTGCGAAGCGACCCTGTACTGGAAGCGTTGCCGCTCAGACGTGCTGTAAGAAGCACATCGGTGCCTGGTAGAGAGGAAGCCTTGTCACCTGCGTAGAACTTGCAGGTAGGAGGCGGTGGAGGATGGGTGAGCGGGCGACGAACGCGGCTGTTGGATCACTCGGCCACGTGCTCACTTGCAGATCGCTAAAGTAGAGTGCGCTGTCAGACGTCGCTGCATAGTCTGCAGTGGAGCCACCAAAGAAGGAGGACTGGGTGGAAGGGGAGCGCTATTAGCTTGGAGAGGCCCACGAGCGTCGCGATCCCTTTCACTATGCTTACAAAGAAGATCTTGATGTTCGACCGTCAACGAGTCGCGTCAGATCAGCAAGAGGAGAGGCATTGCGTGCGCCGTGCCAAAAGGCGATGCATCGGAAGCGTCTCGTCCACTCACCTTGTCCACCCACTGCGCCTTTGCAGCTTCATCGACGTCGGGTTGACTCTGTGCATCTCCTCCACTCCCGCCGCCCTTTCCGGTCTTGACCGTGGGCACCGTTCCAGTGCGAAGCAAAAGTCCTTCCTGAGCGATGGCTAGATTGGAGTCTGCCCAGAGATATATTGCTCCGTTTGCGCGATCAGGAGCGGAATTCTGCAGCACCAAGAGGGTGATGGACGTGGCGCTGGGTAGGAGCAAGCTCGTCAGCTTCTCCAAACGGCGACTCCACCCAAATAAACCCACTCACGACCCAGCCTTGAGCTCGAAACTCCCTCTGTTCATGCTCGTGCCGTAATCATCGTTGCACAAGAGCTCCTTGTTCCTTCCACAAGGATCATAGGCATCTCCGCTTGCAGATGCATCCTTGCTGCTCAGCACATCGGTTGGAAAGTACGCATAAGCTTCGCCCTTGCCGTCTTGCCTCCACATGGCTCTCACGCTCCAGCAACTAGCTCCCACCCCATCTCTACTCCCGCCCGAGCATCCGTCCGTATTGGCATCCCATCGCGGTGCGCCGTCCTCGCTTGAAGTTGCGAGCTTACCGACTGAAGAGTACAGTCCAGGCAGCTTGCCGCCCTTGACAAAGTCAAAGCCAACGGGCACGTGAACCGTGTAGCGCAGGAGCAGCACCTGACGGGATGGGTCGGAGGAATGTTGCATGGCGGACGTCACATACTGCGGCAAGGTCGTGGTGCTGTTTGGCGATGGAGCGAATGGTTGCGCGTAAAACGATGTGCCGCCTAGCGGGGCGTCTTCGCTGTTCGAATCTGATCCAGCTCTACGCGGCAGACCCAAAAAGATGCTTGGGCTCCTTCGCTCATTCTTCATTTTGCTATTGGCAGCGCTGGGGGCATAAGAACCCTTGGGGTAAGTGACCTTGAGCGCGGCGCGGGGCGAAGCGGACGTCGCGGTGCTGGCGTTTACGGGCAGGGGTACGAACTCGAGGTTCTGCGCGCCGACGAGCACCCTGCCCGAATACAGATTGAGATTTTGTGACAGCCATTCAGAAGCATCGGATGACACTTCTGCTCGCTTGATCGTACGCGTCGACGGGACGAGAGCGGCCTCTACTGGATCGACGACGGGAGCAGGAAAATCCCACGTCCAAGCTTGCGAGTCGAGTCCATATGCGTCAATGAGAGTGCCTAGACCCGGTGCAGAAGCCGTGGAGGTCGGAATAGCGCCGCCTACTTGCTCGCTCGAGGTGGCGTTGAGCACGTCGGAGCCATCGAGCAGCTGTCTTGCATCCAGTAAAGGTTCGACTCGCGGCGCATCGCGGACGCTGTTCCGATGAGCTCGTCGTCCGCCAGACTGCGTCGAGATGAGTGGACGAGCGACGATATGCGGCGCTGCTACCGCGACGACTATCAACAGCACCAGGAGCGTTGCTCCACAATGCCTCGCCTTCTTGCTGCCCATCTCTCGAGCGGTCGTGTCGTCGATTAGGCGTGCGGATGGATGACGATGTGGGTGCCTCCTATTCACAGCGCGAGTACAGGGAGGTGAATGAATAGATGGATGGCAAGCTTGAATATCAATCGGGTGCGTAGAATCAAGAAGTGCGAGAAAGAGGAGACGTCATCGTCACTCGCGATGATGCCGGCATCTTGTCAAAGTCGGTAGTGGAAGGGATCGTGTGCCGTTGGAGCGTTGAGCCATTCGCACCATGCCGCTGGTAGGCGATGGCTGCGTCGAGCAGTGTGTGTAGACCAGCGCTGGTCCCGCGTTTGTGACCCGCTGCTCATCATCAACGCGCCGGCGAGCATGATGGGTAAAGTGCGGTGCGGATGAGCACCAAGTGACCGTTGCCGGTGAAGGATGTTGAGGATGGCCGTTGATTCTGTAAGGCGCCATAGCTGCTTGCTCTGGAGCGCGCCACAACATGCATGCATGCACGCGCACGCACCGCCTCAACGGTTCTCATGCGCTCATCGCGTTCGCTAGCGAGGCATGTCCCTTGCGCTGCTGCACGAGAGCCGTAGTGAGCTTTGGCAGCTCTCGTCTCGGTTGGGCCGATCCGGCGTGTACGGATGGCGAAAGTCCGTCAGTAGGCTGGGTGTTACGCACACGCAAGGCAAAGAGGCACTTACACTCGCTTACACTCGCCAGTAACGCATATTTGGAGCAGACGGTTCGGAGGCTGAGTGTAGTTGTGTTGTGAAGCATGACTGAGGGACTTGGTGTTAGTCAAGCACGGTATGATCGATGTATTAACGATGGATGTATGTGTGTGATGGGGTAGGTACATGTACCCCTGCATAGGAGGGCGCGCGGGATAGGTCACGTGTTAACACTTGGCAGTCCTTGATCCAGAAGCATTTCATTCGAGATTTGCTCGCTTCAGAAGATCAGCTTCCCATTTGCTGCAATGAAGTCGAAAGTAGCCACTAGTCCTATATATGGACTGCAACTCTTACAGCGTAAAAGCGGATGCGGAGACAAGTGCCCAAAATGAGGTGCAAGGTGTACAGCAAGCAGGCCGCAAGAGAGTGATTGGAAAGCAGTCAGTGCGCACAGTGAGATTACTGCGTGCAGAACTAATCGGTAGTGCAGGAGAGCATAAGAGGCAGAGGTTTAGAGCATGATAACAAAAGAGCATCACAGGGTTGTATGCACAGGTCAGATGGGTCAGTACGCAATAATGAGAGAGTGTGACAAACAAGCAACAAGGGAGAGAATGTTAGAGCTTGTAAATGAGCGCATCACAGGCAAGCAATGAACGGGTCAAATTGAGTTAGTGCGTGTGAATGAGAGAGTGTGACAAAGGAACAAGGAGGAGTGAGAGGATGTTAGTGCATGTAAATTTGGAAGAGGGAAAGTCAGTCAGTTGCTGAGGGGAATGTTAGTGTGTGTAAATGAGAGGGCTGTGAGGAGAGAGGGCTAGTCACTTGATGAGAGGGATGTTAGTGTCTGTAAATGAGAGAGCTGTGAGGAGAGAGGGCCAGTCAGTGAATGAGGGGGCTGTTAGTGTGTGTCAATGAGAGAGCTGTGAGGAGAGAGGGTCAGTCAGTGAATGAGGGGGCTGTTAGTGCATGTAAATGAGAGGGCTCTGAGGAGAAAGGGTCAGTCAGTGAATGGGGGGGCAATGGAGAAAGAGGAGAGGAAGTAGAAAAGCAGGGTGGTGAAGCAATGGAAGTTTGGTGCAGCAAAGTGAAGGTGGGCAGTTAGTGCAAGTAAATGAGAGAGTATGGGGGAGATTCAGAGCAATGCAGGGATGGAAAGTGAGAATGGGCAAGGAGTAAGCAAGTGAGAAGGTGTTTGTGCAAGTAAATGAGAGTGGGGTGGGGAAATTGAAGGGTTGTGGGTGTAAAAGTTTGGTTTGGAGGAAAGGGGCAGTTTGACAGAAGATGGGCACAAGGGGAGTGTGTATGGGTTGTAGCAAGGTGGATTGAAGGAAGAGGAGCATGATGAAGGTGTGAATTGTTGGTTAGATGCATTGGTTGTTAGGTTAGATGCTTTTTTTGTTGGGTTAGATCAGTATTTGTAGGGTTAGGGTTAGGGTTAGGGTTAAGGTGTTAAACCGGTACTGTGGGAAGTAGCGGGTTTGCCGGGGCTATCGGTCAACGATAGGCTCAGCGAGGGGTTGGCTGAACCTTACGTTACATCATCGCCCTAGACGTCTGCGCGCATACTTACATAGACCGTCTGTCTAGATCTCTACACCATAATTGGCGGAGCGTCTATAGCATCAGGGTTATGAATAGTATTTGCGATGAGGTACTCGGTCAACAAGTGCCTCACAAAAAGAAGACTACAAAAGGGGATCGCGAGGTTCGAGTGATCTAACTGCGGCGTGTCTCTCGTACGAGTGGCTCCGCTAGCCTCTCGTGCGATAGCGCGCCGTTGGTCAC